CCGCGGCCCCCCCTGGGGGCCCGGAGCCCCGAGCCACCTTCCCCCGAAAACCCCAGCGACGACGGGGAGTACTCACGTAGGGGGTGAAGATCTTAACCCATCGAGGCTTCTTCTCCCCCCGTGCGTACTCGAAGCAGAAGGCCATTCCCTCCTCGTCCGTGTCCCATCGCTGCATCTCCTCCCACTCGAAGGCTATTACCTGGTTCTGCAGGGAGACAGACCCAGGTGAGCCCGGGGAGGGGCTGGAGCAGCCGGAGGAGGTCTGGGGGGTCAGGGAGGCTGAGGATGCTGAGGAAGAGATACAGAGACACCGGAGCCCCTCGGGAATCTGGAGGTGTGACACGGCCCCGGGGCAGCCCCTCACCTCCAGCTGCCCCTCCTCGGTGCAGGCGTGGAGTTTAAAGTGCTTGATGCTGATGGCCGTGATGACGTGTCCCTTGCGCCGCGAGTCGCAGGAGCAGTGCGGGAAGATGATCTCGTTGTAGCCCTCACACGTCCGTAACATGTTCAGGTACTGCCAGGGCAGAGCCACAGGGTCAGCACCTCCCCAGCTCGGCAAGGCTGGATCACCCCAAGGGAACCCCAGAATCTCACAGCTCGTGCCAGCTCTGGGCCGTGAGGCGCCGGCGGCTCCATGGGCGACCCGGCCCTGGCAGGTTCCAGGCCGGGCTGGACGAGGCTCAGAGCAGCCTGGGCTGGTGGGAGGTGTCCCTGACCATGGTCCCAACCCGACCCAGTCCATGACTCCGTGGTGAGACCCTTCCAGCCACCCAAAACACGGACCCAGCCAGGTGCAGGTGCACTGGAGGTGCAGGCCTGGAGCACTTCCATGGATGTGGGTTCCAGCCACAGGTCACAGCAGCCCCAGGGGGCGATTGCCAAGGGATTCCTTCCGGTGTCTGACCTTCTAGCCAGGCCTTGGATGCAGCCCCTTCTTGCCCCAGGTCTGAGCTGGGACAGCCTAGTGAGTCCTGCTCAACTCCAAAAGGAGTGGAAGAGGCAGAGAACCCCTGAGCTCCAGCACAGGATTTGGGAATGGATAAAAACCTGAGGAGTTAAGGCATTGCAGGGCTGGGAGTCACATTCCAGCGCCCAAACCCCACAGCTACCCTAGCACCAGCACCTCGAGGCTGCTTGAAGCAGAATGAGACCTTTGCCTCTTAATTACTGGGAAGAGCCATTCCCAAAGGGCTGCAGGGGAAGGATTGCTCCACCTCACCTTGAACACAGGTACTATCCACAGGGAATTATCCCTGGAGCAGAGCCAACAGGTGATGTGCCAAGGACAAGGTGCTGCTCCATGTGCCAGGTACTGGGGGTTGTGGTTGGTGCTCCAGTGGACCCTCAGGCAGGTGAGACACCTGGAACTCCTGCCTGCACAGCCTGCCAATCCCACAGCCCCACAGCCCTGTGCTAGCCAAGAAAGATGTGGCTCTCCAGGATGTGTGCCTGGAATGGCTCGGGCTGGAAGGGAATTAGCATTACCTAGCTCATGGCAGGGACACTTCCCACTGGACCAGGCTGCTCCAAGCCCCATCCAACCTGGCCTGGGACATGCCCAGCAATGGGGCAGCCACAATTTCTCTGGATAACCAGCTCCAGAGTTTCCTTTCCAGACACAGCAGTGGGATCAGGACCGGTGGGATCACTCACCATGACCATCTTTCTCTGCTCACAGAGTTTCTGTAACTGGTAGGACTTCTCCTCTGCTTTGATGTAGCCTTTCTTGACATCATCAACAGCCTGAGGAAAGAAGAAAGGGAAAAGAAATCCAAGGAGTGAGTGTGGAGGACTCAGAGTCACAGCCCTGAGGTGCTCTGAACCCAAATTCCAGCCCCAGGTAGTGACCAGTGTCCCCAGAGGGGCTCCCAGAGGTGGTTCCTGCCCCTCCTGAGCCCCCGACCACCCTGGGACCTCCCAGGTGCCAAAACATCCACACGGACTTTGAGAGAAGTCCCTGGCAAGAGAGGATGGATGAGGAGAGGCTGGAATCCTGCTTTAGCCTCAGGACACTCCAGACACAGCCACAGCCACAGCCATGGTGCTGCTGGAATGTTGGCAGGAAGAGGTGGCTTTCCATGAGGACTGAGCAGGAACACAGCTCCTGCCCTCAGCACGACGTGGCTTGGACTGTCAGCCCAGCAAGATCCAGTCTGGGACACTGATCCTGGACCACTACTATTCGGTACCAATTTATTCCAGGGGCTCAGGCTGGAGGGCACCAGGATGGAGGTTTTGGACTGAGCTGGATTCACCTCTCTGAGTTTCACAGCCGTGTTGACCCCTGAGCTGGGCATTCCCACTGTGTTCCAAAGGACAGTGGTGACTGGAACAGCTCTGGGACCTTGGGTAGCCTTAACTCCATCAAAACAGGCAGAATTGGTTCATGGCTGGATTCAATCACCTCTCTCCCCAGGTAAGTGATCTCCAGCTGGAATTCCAGCCCACAGGCATTTACCTGATGGAAGAAGTAGGCGACTGCCAGGTCATTGTCGTTGAGCAGCACCTCCTCCTCCGTGGTGAAGAGCCACTTCCTGATGGTCAGGCAGGTCCCTGGCACGGCTGAGGTGTAGTTCTGCACGTACAGCTTGTGGGGGAACTCGTTGGGCGCCAGTTTGCGCACTGGGAAAGGGACAGGACACGGAGCTAAGGCCACTGGAGCACCCGGAACTGGCAGCAGCGCCTGGGAATGGGGCCTGGCTGCCCCAAAATCCACACCAGTGCTGTCCCTCAGCCTTGGGATTGCTGTCCTGGACCTCCACACGGTGTCCCAGGATGCCACCAGGGTCTGGACAATTCCAGCTGGAGCAGCTGAACCACCAGGAAGCCCCAGGATGCTGGAGTCAGGTGGGGTTGGGATCTGCTCCCAGGGAAGAGCAGGACAAGAGGAAACAGCCTCAAGCTGCAGCAGGGCCGGCTGAGGTTGGATACTCGGGCAGATTTCTCCATGGAAAGGGTGTCCAGGCCCTGGCACAGCTGCCCAGGCAGTGGTGGAGTGTCCGGAGCACACGGATGTGGCACTCCAGGACGTGGTTAGTGGTGGCCTTGATTTCCATGACCTCACACCCCCAGGACCTGGATCTCCCCACACCTCTGTGGGCACAGCCCTTTCCCTCCATCCCAAGGGATGCCAGGACTCACCAAAGGAGTGATTGATCACCTCAAACAAGGCAAAGTAGTTGGCAGTGACACTGTCCATCCCGACTTTGGCAGCCACAGCCTGGAAAACAGGGAAAAGGGATGAGCAAAATGGGAATCTGCAGCTCTGGGGCAAAGCCAGGAATTCCCAAGTATTCCCTAACCATGGAAAATGTGAATTTTCCAGTCAAACCACGTAGTTTTGAAGGGACTGCTCCCCTGATTTCACCTTCTGCTCTGGGTTTGAAGAGCTGCCACAATTGATAATGAGGTCATCTTCCCTCCCGATGCTTCCAGCTACAATTCCCAAGGGAAGAGGAACATATTCCCTCCTGGAAATTTTTTCCAACACCACCTCAGTCCTGTGTGCTAATCCCACAGCCAAAACACACTGATGGCAGTGGAAGCAGTGTGAAATTCCCCAGGCTGTGTCCACTCTGATCCCATCTAATCACCAGATTCCAGAGCTCCTGCTCTTCCACAACCCTCCACTCCCTCCATTCCAGGAGGACTTTTAGCTCCCCTTTCCAAAAGAGTCTCCCCTACATCACCTGATTCCCTTAATCCACTGCCACTCCCACTTTTCCTCCCGCAGCACTAGTTAACTCAGCTCTCCTGGTTTTCCACTGAAAACATGGAGCCTCCAGCCACTGCACACCTGGAATCTGCCTCTATCCTGAACATCCAACCCCTGTCCTGCCATGGAGCCACGGGGAGACTTGTGTGTTGGCTGCTGGAAGCTCCTGGATCCAACTCCTCCATGCTGCCTGGTGCCTGGAGCCATTCCAACTCCATGATCTTACCAGGGAAAAACAATTCCCGGTGAGCGAACTAACTCCCGACAGGGAAAACGCTGCTCCGGGTGGGGTGAGTGCCCGTGGTGTCGCCACGGGAGCAGGGGCAGGCGGAGGCTCCCGGGGCTCAGGGCACTGAGGGAGGGAGGAGAACCTCACCTGGTACACCTGGTCAGTGGTGCTGTTCTTTTTGACCCTGACTGTCACAGTCGTGACATCGGGCAGTGCCACGCGGAGCTCCACGTCCGAGACGCCGTTGTAGTTCTGGAAAAGGCAGGCAAAGAGGCCAAAAGTCAGGAGCATTCTCCAGCCCTGCATTTGCCAGCAAAGCAACGACCAAAGTGCCACAATGATCCCTCAGACTCCATCAGGACTGAGCCACAGGAGGAGAGGTGAGGAGCTAGGATGCAGGGAGAGACCTGGAAGGAGGCTGGAGCCAGGTGGGGCTGGGATCTGCTCTCAGGGAAGAGCAGGACAAGAGGAAACAGCCTCAATCTGCACCAGGGGAGGTTGAGGTTGGATATCTGGAAAATTCCTTCAGGGAAGGGGCAGTCAGGCCCTGGCACAGCTGCCCAGGGCAGCGGTGGAGTCACCACCTGGGAACATCCAAAACACGTGTGGATGTGGCACGTGGTTAGTGCTGGGGCACGGTTGGACTCGATGGCCTCAGAGGCCTTTTCCAACCTTGACGATTCCATGAAAGGTCTTGCATTTTGGCCATGGAATTCTGTTTGACCACCCACTGGCTGCTCAGGGAACTCAATGACGTCACCCACCTCGTCAGACTCAGACAGGAACTCCTGCATGATGTCACTCTCCCCGATGACACGTATGGAACACACTGCAGGACAGAGCAGGACGTCACGGGGTCCACGGGGAGCACTTCCCATCCCAAAGCACCAGAGCAGCACAGGAGGAAGGCTGGAGCTCCCCAGCTCCCACCCACAGCCTCTGCCCCCAAACACCAGGGCCACAGAGCTGAGATAAGGCTCTGCACCCCCTTCCCATGGCCCAGAAATTCCTTCACCTGGGTCACCCCTGTCCTCCATGTCCTGGCGGCCCCACAGGGCTGTGAGTGTCCCCTGGGTCACCTCCTGTCCCCAACTAGTTCTGTCCATGCCATGTCCCATGTCGGTGGCTCCATGTGCCCCACACCCCAGACCTGCCCGAGGTGGAGCTGTGGAACAGCTGCAGCTCCATACCTTTCTCCAGGTACTCCTCCAGGCCTCTCCTCCGCGCATCCAGCTGCTGCTCGGACAGGGAGAATGGCCACTTTCCGGGAAGCCTCGGGAAGGTGAAGTTGGCGAATTCCCGCTTGAGGTTCTGGTGGAGTATGGCGAACTCGCGGTAGCGCTTGGAGCAGAGCTGCCTCCCTGCCATGTACACGTTGTACACCTGGGAGAGAGCAGACGACATTCCCAGAGCACAGCTGGGACAGCCTCTCCCACCTGCAGCACAGCAGGACTGAGCCAGGAAAAGGGATTGGGATGCGGAGGTAGATACACTTCCCCCGGAGCTGTTTCTCATCACCACTGTGATGTGAGAGAATTCCATGGGATTCCCTTCCCGTTCCCCAATCTGCTGCGTCTCCCAGGCAAGGCAAACTCCCTCCAAACCAGGCCTTACTACTCCTGCTAAGGAGATCCCACACAACAGCATTCCCTGAGTCACCTTCCCACCAGGAAAGGGCTGGAGGTGGGATCTGGCACCACCCGAGGGGGATTCAGCCCTTTGATCCCCTCTGCTTGCCAGGACCCTTTTCCTCCTGCCCCCCTAATCCAACAGCATTCCTGGGAGAGCAGGATGCTCCCTGCGAGGCTGTGGATTCCCAAGGATCCCTGCAGAGGGAGGGACAGGAGCCTGAGCCCTCTCCACCCTTCCTCTCTCATTCCTGAAACACTGATACTGACTCCTGTTTTCCTTAGGAAAATCCCTCCGTTCCCAACAGGGAGAGACACAATCCATGAGCCAGTGTGTCACCTTATCCCACAGCCTCATCCTGAGGGTGACAGCTCCAGCCAAACCAAAGAGCAGAAAGGAGAACCTGGACTGGGGGTTGGTAGGGCTCTGCTTGTACAGCAAGCAGCTCCTTTGGGGAAGAATCATGCTATTTTGAGGAAGAATCCTGCTATTTTGGGGAAGAATAGTGCCCTTTGTAGCTTCTGTCTCCACCAGTCACTGACAGCAACTGGGACCCGGCTGGGCTGGGCTGTGGCTCTGCTGACCCCAGACATGGAAACAGGAATGCTGAGCAAGGACTGAGGGAGCAAACACATCCCATATGTTCCCGGAACACCATGAGTATCTTTATCCAACTTAGCTTGGCTCCTTCTCCCAGGATTCCCTCAGCAGTCACAGCCTGAGGAACCAAAACCAACCTTAAGCCTCATGGGATGCACCTGTGTCACATACTTGGATCATGGAAAATGGAAAGGAACAAGACTTTTTATGGCTATTATTTAGCTTCTAGAGGGGAAAAAAATCCCGGTGATGGAAGTTTTGCTTCAAGGCATCTGTTCCCATTGCTTTTCCATCTATCCGACACATCCTGAACACTTGGGAGATCCACCCAGGAAAGCTTAGAGGGATAAAACAACAACTTAACCCTCACAGAGGATCCAAATATTCCAGAAAAATTAACAAACCGCTTCCCAGCACAGAGGGAAGATCACATTACGCAGGAAATAAACTTCCAGGAAGGCCAATCCAAGCTGATCCTCACCACAAACTTCTCCCCGTTCTGTTCCACATGTTTGTAGGTCGGGATGGAGATGGGCACAGCCTGTTTTTCCGTGTAGTCGTAGAAGGATTGTCCCAAAGGATCATCCCCAGGGTCCAAGTTCTCAGCCTCGTGGGGAGGCACTGACAGCACAGTCAGGATCAACTCCTTCTCTCCAGCTCGGATCAGATCCACCACCTGCTTGTGTGTGGCTCCCTCCACGTTCACCCCATTCCTGCAGGGAGAAGAGCCACAGGTGACCACAGACCTCCTTGCCCAGAGGCACATTCCCGCGGAATTCCTGCCCCAGGGGGCTCCACACTCTTGGCTAAACTCCACTCGTTCTTCCCACTGATGATTTTTGGGATACTGGTGCCTGTGGCTGGGGAAGATCCCCCTGGGCATTCCCTGGGGAGCATTTCCAGCAGCACCTCCGTGTGAGCAGGCAAACGCTGGGAACAGCTGAGCCAGCAGCTTCCACCTCCTCTCCAGCCCATTCCCGACTTTTCCAAGGCAGACCCAGATTTTCCATGCAGAGGCCTTAGCCCATGGAGACACAGAGATGCCAATCTCCCCAGGGAAATGCCTTTCACCCCTCACACAAGGCTTGGGAAGACATCTCCGGAGACCATTCAAACCACATCCAACCTCCTCCCTTGAAGCAGTCAGTGCTGCCACTGTTCCAGATGTTTCCCTGGTGCTGGAATGACTCTGATGGGATACAGCATCCCACATCCGTCCCCATCACGCCTAAATCCAACCATTTCTCCACGTACATAACTCACTAACATAAGACCAAATCCCTCCTTTCTCTATTCCATCATTTCTCTGGCAGTTTCTGTGCTCTGGAGCTGTTTTCCCTGTCGGAATTAGTTCTGATTGGCATTCCCGGTGCTAATCAAGAGCTTAATTAGTTCCCATTGTCTGTCTCAAATGCCCTCAGCACCCACAAACTCTCTCCAGCTAAGGAGATTATGGAGCAATCCCGAGCTGTGGCACAGAACAGCCCTGGGAAGAGCCAGGGATGAGCTATTCCCTGGATACAGGGATGCGACACGGGGAAGGACTTGGAGTGGGCACAGCACCTACAGATCACACCTGGAGCATTGCTGGGTGTTGCATGAGGACTGGGAATGGGTTGTGCTCTGTTCTGCAGAGGAAACCACATTCCCAGATCCCTTGGATGGGAGGTCTCCAGGTTTTCCAGCTTGACGGAGTGGGGACAGACCCACAGGTGCATGACCATGTCCTCAACACCCACAGGATCTCCAGCAGCAACCTCAGGAATTCCTCACGGGTGCAACAACCTCTTCCCTCCACAAACCTCCCCCCAGTCCAGTCTGCTCAGAATTCCAGGAGATGGGAACAAAATCCCACATGGAAACAAACGCCCAACCTGTGTGTGCTGCAGTGCCCTGGGACCCCAAAATCCTCCAGCAGCTCCTCCTGGAGCCTGACTGCCTGGATTCCAGGGAGTTCCCTGTGTGGGTGCTCTGGAAGAACCAGGACCGCCCAGAAAAGCGGATGTGCCCCCTGTGCCTCCCGGGGAAAGGAAGGGAAATCTGAGCTATTTTGGGAGTCTTGGGTTATTGTTTTCTCCTCCAGCTCAGGACCACGCTGAGAGGTAACTCTAGGAGTTGGGATTTAATGGATCCAGGGAGAAGGAGTGTCCTCTTGGATGAGCATGGAGACACGCAGGGACTCCACACTGCCAGAACATGGATGGGATCAGGGAATGCTTTGGGGGGCATTTATGCAGCCTAGGAATGTTGGGATATGGGAGTATGGGTAAATTGCAATGTCAGAAAATAGGGATACTGGAATATTGGAATCTAGGGGTAGGGCGAGAGCCAACTTGGCAGTACCACAAGACGCAGACAAACTAATGCCACTTCTCCCAGGAGAAGAGGATAAACCACGAGGAAATTCCCAATGCTTCCAGCTCCAGCTGCTCCTGCCCATGGAGAGGAACACCAGGATTCCCGAGAGCAGGAGCAAACCCTCCTTGTGCCCTTCATTAACCACAGAGCCTAACGATGTCACAGCGGTGACAGGTCACGTCCTCACCTGACACCAACCCCTGCACCCCAAAATTCCAGCTCCAGGCTCCAAACCTCCCCCCAATTCCCAACTCGGCAATTCCAGTGTCCCCCGAAACAGGAATGGGCGAAAACCTCCTCCCTCGGCCCCAAAACACTGTTCCCACAACTAGATCATCCAGGTGCAGAATTCTCTCCCCCTCCCAATGCTGTTTCCGCATGGAAAAATCAAAGAACACGGAATTTGGGTCAGATGGGAAAGAGCCAAATTGTAGAGGGATTTCCAGGGGCCCATCCGGATCACTGGCCACGGGCTGGTCCTGACAGCTCCTCTCACACTCCCTGTG